GATCGATGTGTGCAGCGAAAGATGGCTTGAGATTGAAGATGACACCTAGGTATTTAAACTTACTGACAAGTTTAGTTTGTTGAGAGTCAAATGCCATACTTAGGAGAGTGACCTCCAAGGAAGGGTCAGTTGTATTGATGCTCAGTAGAGACACTCTCCCCTCTGGGTGTCTCAGTGAGACACTCTCCCCTCTGTGTGTCTCAGTAGAGACTCTCTCCCCTCTGGGTGTCTCAGTGAGACACTCCCCTCTGGGTGTCTCAGTAAAGACACTCTCCCCTCTGTGTGTCTCAGTAGAGAAACTCTCCCCTCTGGGTGTCTCAGTGAGACACTCTCCCCTCTGTGTGTCTCAGTAGAGACACTCTCCCCTCTGGGTGTCTCAGTAGAGACACTCTCCCCTCTGTGTGTCTCAGTAGAGACACTCTCCCCTCTGGGTGTCTCAGTAGAGACACTCTTCCCTCTGGGTGTCTCAGTAGAGACACTCTCCCCTCTGGGTGTCTCAGTGAGACACTCTCCCCTCTGGGTGTCTCAGTAGAGACACTCTCCCCTCTGGGTGTCTCAGTAGAGACACTCTCCCCTCTGGGTGTCTCAGTAGAGACACTCTCCCCTCTGGGTGTCTCAGTCGAGAAACTCTCCCCTGTGGGTGTCTCAGTCGAGACACTCTCCCCTCTGGGTGTCTCAGTAGAGACTCTTTCCCCTCTGGGTGTCTCAGTAGAGACACTCTCCCCTCTGTGTGTCTCAGTAGAGACACTCTCCCCTCTGGGTGTCTCAGTAGAGACACTCTCCCCTCTGGGTGTCTCAGTAGAGACACTCTCCCCTCTGGGTGTCTCAGTAGAGACCCCGCTCTGCGTTTAGTTGCATCATTTCCCACCACATGAGGAGCGCATCCAGATAAGTATCTCTTGCAATGGCGATCTGGCACTATCTACTCTCTGGCACTATCTGGCACTATATACAAGGCAAATTGATGCATTTCATCAACACAGGATAGAGTTGAACACTCTGTATTTCATTTAAAAATGACGCACGATTCATTTGAAGTGAGCGTGATTGATCTTGCAAGTGTGCGTTCGATTTCGATGCCGCAAACCTTTGTGAACTTATCAAATAGTTTTGGAGTGAATCACACTCATCTTTCTCAATTGGGGATTCATGATTTGGATCCCATACGTCCATTGAACCCACTCGGTCCACATCTCCTCCTTGCCTCCCCTTCCCCACTCGGTGTTTGTTCAACCGACCCCATGCAGTGACAATGTGAAACACATGCGACGGAACGCGAGCGCGCTCGCATACGTGCTCACCACGCACTCGCTCGCAAGCACGTTCACCGCACTCATCACACTCACGCACTCGCTCGCACACACGCTCACCACACTCACCACACACACGCTCACCACACACACGCACCACACACGCGCACTGCGCTCGCTCACCACGCACTCGCTCGCAAGCATGTTCACCGCACTCATCACACTCACGCACTCGCTCGCACACACGCTCACCACGCTTACCACGCACTCGCTCGCACACACGCTCACCACGCTTACCACACACTCGCTCGCACACATTCTCACCAAGCTCACGCACTCGCTCGCACGCACACTCACCACTCGGTCGCTTGTGTAAGATTCGATGTTTTTAAGTATGCATATATGTAGAATGCAACGGGTTCACTTAACTCCTCCATCCACTCGAGGCTGCTACATTGACCAATTTGGAAGAAAATATATATTCGTGGCCCTGAATCGATACAAGTCCTCAAATCCTGTGGGGTTGTGAGGTAGGGAGTCAATTGTAACATTTCATCCGCTGAGCTTTGTAGCTCATAGGCAAGTGATGTTAGGAAGAATCTATTAAGGCTCACGTCTATGCGCGCGCGCGCACACACACACGCAAGGAACACATGCACAGACCCTGGCCAAGAAGCAATTGTAAATCTGGCATAAAGTTCAAAACACAAAATCCTATCTCAGCTGCGTACCGTCCCACCCCAAGTCCCCCGCTCCGCCCCGCAGCCATAAAAATCACTGGGATCTGTGCTTTCCAGTGGGGCCCCCGTCACATTGGCAAAGGGGGTTGTTGATGCGTTAAGGTTCGCGTGGCGCTGGCGTGGGATTAACTCGGCGATTCCAATCCCGTAGCCGCATCGCGATGTGCGCAAGCGCGGTCGCTCTCTGGGGCGTGCGCGCGCATTATTATATTTTTGTTTATCTTTCTCCACGTTATTGCGTCTCCCGTAAACAGAATAAGACGGATTTCGGATCGTTGTGAAATGTCGCGTATGCTGTGTATGCGCAAATCTCAGCGGTGCTAAGACGGACGTTCGCACCGTTTGTCGGCGGGAATGTAACAGTTCGCCCCCTTTTGCGCGGTCTGATGAATTTTCACAATTCGGAGTGTGCGTGATTCGATCCCAAAAATAGATTAGTAAACTGGGCGCATGTGTGACACTTTTAGAATCTATTGTGGCTGTGCCAGCGCAGTATATGCACGCATTGCACACGATCAGCTGCTGCACGTGCAATTCTATTCGAGCGTACATTTCAATCAAGGCATCGTCACGTGCTAAGGTTTCGGCAGAGTGCTGTTACCCGCTGCCAATCGACCGGTTTCACCCGGATTGGAGGCCCGAAAGATATTTCCATGCTTACTCATTGGAGTGCTAACATCGTGCTTTGCATGAACAGGGAAGAAGAAAAAAAAGACTTCGCTAGCCTCAGGGGTTCTTATGCGTTGTGTATGCCTTGTGTAAATCATAAATAATGAATTGTTTCGTGACAAGGCAGTTTCATTTCCACAGCAGAGTCAAAACGTCGGCGTTAGACCGTCATCTAAACCGTCCGCAGCCCAAAAACGTCAGAGCGATTTTCTGCTCAAATGAACAGAGGCGGTGCTTATCTCCTGCTGACAGTCCCTGAGCAAGTGGTGGAAATTCCACATTCCTTTGGCGGGGGTGGGGGGTTGGTCGGTGAGTCTATCCTTAAGGCAACCATGCTTGATTTTCCCCACAAAGTGGTCATCGTTTTATCGACCCCAGAGGGATTATGGTCCGAATAAACCACCAGTGAGCGGCTGCCTCTACGCTGAGCTACCTGGCCGGTTAGAGCACGGCGCAGCTGCTACGATGAAGGCCTGGCGGAGAGCATCCCAACAGCCAACCGCTCCAATGGAGTGGCAGCCACAGGAGGGGAAGTATCCAACAGGACAGCGGCACACACACACGCACACGGGGAGTGTGGGTTAAAAAATATCTTCTTTATTTTACTTGTATTGCTCTCCCATCCAAACCGCTAGCCAGGCAGGGCCGCATCCACCTTAGCTTCTAAGATGAGAGACATTGTCACACCCGTTGTGGTCTGGGGGCAATTGGACAGCACGAGGAGATGTTTGAATTGGCCGATGGCCATTCGGTTTTTGCGTCAGTGGACGGGGGAGGGGCGGTGGAGGGCGGCGTTGCTGTGTGCGGTTGTTTTTGTTTTGTGTTCTTTTTTTTAGCCGCGCGCCAATCCCCCCTCGACTCGACCGCCGTCATTCTCATTCAGATAAATCCGACCCCCCCTCCCCCCGCGCCATCCTCCTCCTCCCCCCGCCCTCGCGATCCGACCCTCCAACTCACCCCAGTCATCCACCCACACGAAGAGTGGAAGAAGTCGTAAATTGACCTGGGTTTTTTTGTTGCTCGCGGCCGGACCGCCACGCTTAATCATCGATCGCTATTTGCGCCCGGGCCCCTCTCTGTCCTGAGATCTTGAGGAACGTGCGATAAAGGCGGGGGGGCGGGGGGGAGGGGCCTTTGTGTGCGGGAAAGAGGCAACCCCCTAGTGAATGTGGAGACGACACCCCATGCCTCCCGATACCCCCCCCCCCCCAGCAACGCCTCCCCAAACCTCACCGTCGCTTGTTTTTGTTTGCTGAGAGATGGCTCCAATGCCACCCGTGCGTGTCCCGTTGTGGTCATTTGCTTGTTGGGAAAAACGAGTGGGACTTGGGTTAGACGCGGCATTATGAGCTTTGACGGCTGGTCATCAAAACTAATTATGGAGTGGAAGCCAAAAGGACACCACACATCTCAAGACTTTTTTGAGATGGCAATGGCTTGGGAAGGCCTTCATCCAGCAGTGGATAGATTATGGTTGATGATTAATAATGCCTTTGGGGGCAACGTGGCACAGCAGTTAGCATCCTGCGCCATGCTCAAGGGTTGCTAAACGACAGTAAAATGCCAACCGTTTTCAGGATCGATTATATTTATCGGTTACGAAAGGCAGGGATCGGTCGTCGATTCCAGCGGGATTTCACTGATGCCTCGCACGGGCGCACAGACGGCACGGCACGTGCAGCTCTTGATTGGCCGGCGGTAGGCCACGGGGAACCTATCCCCTCTGGGTGTCTCAATAGAGACACTCTCCCCTCTGGGTGTCTCAGTAGAGACACTCTCCCCTCTGGGTGTCTCAGTAGAGACGTCGCGGAGTCTTTAACGTGCACATCACGGTGGACGCTTTGGTCATTTCCTTGCGGTGAAACTTCCCGGGCGATGGCTTCAGCAGGAACCCAAGTACGGACTCCATTCAAACGCGCTCAGTGGCAAGCACGCGGAGCGCGAGGCTTGCACGGTCACTCCCGGTGCCTCGAACCAATTCGCTCTCTCTGTCACTGCATCGTTCTTACCAGTGCGTTGCCAGAACCGTGGTCGACCGCATCGCGCGCGTTCTGCGGCCGTCTGGAACGCTCTTCCTTCCGACATTAGCAAGCCACTGGAGCTATGCACTTGTAAATCTAGATTGGATAGCTCACTTCTTTGCAAGCGCTTTTTGTGTGTGTTAGTTTGTTCTCCTTCCCCACCCCTCCCTCCCTCCCCGGCACCTCCAATTAGCGCGGTTGGCTATGTACGGTACGAAAGAAGCTGGACGTACGGCTACGTTAATCCAGCGGCTGTTGGGACAGCCGTTCCCCTCTGCGTTGAGAGTGACGGAGCGAATGTGTGCGTCTCTCTGTGGCAGCTACGTTACTACTGTAGCCTCAACACCCCCGACTTGAGGCGGACCCTCTACAACCTGCGGGACCTGCTCGAGAGCAAGCTCGGGGTGCCCGCGTACGTAGCTCGCCCCTTCGTCACCATACGCAGACCTCGCCGCCACCACTAGCACCATCACCAGGATCACCACGAGCACCACTAGCATCACACCACCACTAGCATCACACCACCACTAGCATCACACCACCACTAGCATCATCACCACTAGCATCATCACCACCAGCATCACCACCACTAGCATCACCACCACTAGCATCATCACCACCAGCATCACCACCACTAGCATCACCACCACTAGCATCATCACCACCAGCATCACCACCACTAGCATCACCATCACTAGCATCACACCACCACTAGCATCACCACCACTAGCATCACCATCACTAGCATCACACCACCACTAGCATCACCACCACTAGCATCATCACCACCAGCATCACCACCACTAGCATCACCACCACTAGCATCACCATCACTAGCATCACACCACCACTAGCATCATCACCACCACAAGCACCACCACCAGCATCACCAGCATCACCACCACCAGCATCACCACCACCAGCATCATCACCACCAGCATCACCACCACCAGCATCATCACCACCAGCATCACCACCACCAGCATCATCACCACCACCAGCACCACCACTAGCATCACCACCACTAGCATCACCATCACTAGCAATCACCACCACGAGCAGCACCACCACCAACATCACCACCACCAGCATCACCACCACCAGCATCACCACCACCAGCATCACCACCACTAGCATCACCACCACTAGCATCACCACCACTAGCATCACCACCAGCACCACCACTAGCATCATCACCACTAGTACAATCTCCACCACTAGTACAATCACCACCACTAGTACAATCACCACCACTAGTACAATCACCACCAGCATCAAAGACAAAGATTCCCCGTATAGCCTTAAGAGACTGTTGAGGCAAGTGCTGTTAGCGAGCACCTATGAAGGCTGGCACATCACGCGAGGTGGTGGGTGGGCAGCACCACGCCCGACCGCCTTTGTCTCCCCAGTGGCGATGTTTACACACCGCACCAGGTACTCACTTGAGGCTGAGTCGACCTAGGGGAGGCCCATGACCGATTCAGATAACCGTCACTGATCTTGGCCGTGAGCGGGAATTGAATTCGGGTCACCGGGTTCGTAGCGCAGTGCGCTACCTACTGCACCAGCGCTCCCTACACCACCAGCATCACCACTATCACTCGCACCAACACCTGCATCACCACTATCACTCGCACCAACACCAGCATCACCCCAACCACCGTCGCTTACAACCAATAACACCACAACTGTCACTGCCATCCACTAGCACCACCAGAACTATCAACAAAAAGACAAAAATCCCCATATCGCCTTTGACAGACTGTTGGAGCAAGCGCTGTTATCGTAGGAACTTGCACCACCAGTACAATCATCAACGTCACCGCCACCACCACCACCACCAGCACGACCAGCACACGCACCGTCACCTCCAGCAGCACCGCTGCCGCCCTCCAGCTTGGGACGGTTACAACAAATTCACCACACAAAAAAAACCGAATTAGCGGTGCGTTTAGGACAGTTGTGGAAAGGCGCAAACACCCAAGGCTCGAAAGAGAGAGCCGAGCTGAGGCCACCCGGAAGGGAAACACTCGCCGCTTTGGGCATGCGCGCGCGGCAGCAGCCGACGCCGTCTTGTCTTTGTGCCGTCACCAGGAGCCGGCTGCGGCCCTCGGTGCCCCGGGGTTCTTCGGTGGCCTCCCCGGAATCCGGCGGCGGAGCCCGGCAGCACGTCCTGTCCATCAGCGCGCCCCTCGGTGTCAACGGTGAGAAGGAAGGAGGGACTTCGGGTTCCGCCACCGCCGCCGCCGCCACCCCCCCCAAAGAAGTCGGACCGAGGCATGGTGGAGTGGATCAAGACTTTCACGGAAGCCGACAAACCCTCGGCTGACCGGCCAACGGGCACCCTCAACGGAGGCTCCGCTGATGCACACGCTGCACCCGCCACGCGATTACACCCAGCGGATGAGGCTGTCACACCACCACCAGCAGTGACGGCAGCGGTGACGACAGCGGCCTCAACAGTGGCCTCAACATCAGCATCGGAAACAGCAGCAGGCACCGCAACGCCAGCAGCAGCAGCAGCAGCGACAGGAAGCGGCAAAGCTTCGTCGTCGACGGCTCGACTCGGCGGCCCGGATACGGAAAGCGCGCGGGACAAGACGTTCCCGAAGCCACGGCTCTACTACCACCACCCGGCGTCGCAGCGGGTGCAGGAGTTTGTGGCGACGGGCCAGGCGGAGGGAGCGTGGGCCGTCGGGCCGCACAGCGGCGGCGCCGGCGGAGAGGGGGAGGGGGAGGAGGTGGAGGCGGCGGTGGAGGCGGACAGCGACGAGACGGTGCTGGGCGCGCTGGACGCCGAGGAGCTGGCGCTCGTGCACTCGGAGCTCGACGAGTTCACGCGGCGCGTGCACGCGCTCAGCGTGAACGCGGCGCCGTTCCGCCGGCACCGCGGCAGCGAGGCTGCCGAGCCTTGAGCCGCGTCTCGACCGCACGCGGCAGCGAGAGGCGCCGGCGGTGGCGGTGGCGGGGGTGGGGGGGGGAGGGGGTGGGAGACGAGGGGGGGTGGAGTTGGTGGCGCTCCACCGCACCGTCGCTTTGTCGCTTCTTCTTGCGCGGTCGACGAGCTTTCGTTCTCGTCTGCTCTTTTCAAGGCTCATCAACGCCGTGATTTTTTGTTTTTACATCTCCTTCTTTGACACGGTTGATTACGTCCTGCCGTCACCTCGTCCACCATCCGCGATTCGTAATTGGTTCGGCCGCGGCAACGGTCTGACCAAATTTGTGTCATCTGGACCCTCTGCCACCCAACGCAGACCAACAGGATTAATTTTCACGTCAACGGGTTGCTTAGCGCGCCAATTATTGTTGTTTTGGCTCACACCGATCAGTTGAAGCACAAAGCAATTGTGGGATGCAATTCGCATGCATGATGCTATGTAAGATTAAATTATCATTAGCTAGATTCTGCGTTTTGTTTGAAACTACGCCAAACAGGACAAGATGGGAGAAAGCTAGAATAACTGTGTCACTTGATGGGGTTTCTTAAATAGGTACCAAAATATCGCCTTCCAATACCTATGCGTTAAGTTAATCACCTAATCCATTTTTAGACGTGACAAGGAATTTTGATATTCGGTGGGTAAACAAGCGTAATAATAATGAAAAGTTTGAATCAAAGATATTCCCCCTGTTACACATTTTACACAATCTGAAAGTGCCACCACCACCATCCATGGTTAAACATTTGCTCTGCGATAGTCAACGTGTCCTACAAGGACGGTTCTTAGTCTCATCGCCACCATATTCTGCCTCGAGTTCTTCCCCTTGGTCTCTGACCTCTGCCCTCCTCCTCCACCCTGCACACCACTCGTCCCACCCACCATCACCACCTCCTGTACCCTGTACACCACTCATCCCACCCACCACTACCTCCTGCACTCTGCACACCACTCGTCCTACCCATCACTACCTCCTGCACCCAGCACACCACTCGTCCCACCCACCACTACCTCCTCCACCCTGCACACCACTCGTCCCACCCACCACCACTACCTCCTGCACCCTGCACACCACTCGTCCCACCCATCACAACCTCCCCCCCTCTCTTGAGCACACTTTCCTACCACATTCTATTCCAAACCTCCCAAGTTGCTTACCCTATCCCACCTCCTCCACCGTGCACACCACGTGTCCCACCCATCGCTACCTCCTCTCTCCAATTACATGCATAATGCAAAACTTGCCATGCTCAAATTCTCGACTTATATAAGATGCTTAGCCTATCTCGCTTGCCATGTAATTCCCAAAATCTTCCATGTGTTTCCACATTGATTTAGAAAACATTTAAACATGAATACCTGTAACATGGCCTCGCAGAGTGTACAATTTACTGCAGAGTGTACAAAAGAATTAAAGTGTGCAATACGATGCACAACTAAAAAGTAAAAGGAGCTGCATCTTTCCCGTGGTTTAGGATGGCAGCAAGTCTGCTTTTAATTCCAGGGCCGAGATTTTATTGAGCCGCACGTGAAAAAGAGTGACGTACACACGCCAGTGTGCTATAAGCGGGAGGGGGGGGGATAACTCTGAATTGTGACAACTGAACTGAAGAATCTACCACTTGCGGTGTATGTATGCTCAGTTCCAAGTACCCGATCACGAATGCTGTGCGCGGTGGTCTCCATCGCAGAGAGATTGGGCTACGTTTATGATGTTTTGTTTCGGCTGGAGCCGTCCGGGGCTGACCTCAGGAAAATATTCAGAATATTTCATTCAGCCTTTATTTATCCTGGAGAAATCCGATGAACTATAAAGCTCTTTTTCACAGATGCCCAGTAGGGGTGGGTGAGAAAGTTACAACAACAGACGATACAAAAAAAACACGATTGGAGTGCAAAGTATAGGAAAGGCAAGAAAATAACGAAACATAAATTCCTAAAGCAGACAAAGTGTATAAGTACAAATTACGAAATAGCAATTCCTGCCGATTTTTCAACAATAAATGCAAGCTTGGACAAGGCAGCACAACAACAACAGTCTCCCAGGCCAGGGGGTAGGTGGCCAGCACCTCGCCCGACCGCCTTTGTCTCCCCAGTGGCGATGTTTACACACCGCACCAGGTACTCATTTGAGGCTGACTCGACCTAGGGGAGGCCCAGGGCACGGTTCAGGTAATCGTCACCGGCGTTGGCCATGAGCAGGAGTGGAACTCGGGTCGCCGGGTTCGTAGCGCAGCCCGTTAACCGCGACGACACTACCGCTCCCCACTAAAGTTCCACGCAGAGACGCACGCGCAGAGACGCACGCGCAGAGACGCACGCGCAGAGACGCACGCGCAGAGACGCACGCGCAGAGACGCACGCGCAGAGACGCGCACACGACGACAACAATGCCCGCCGTTCGTCACCACGGCGTGTGTGGTCAGGCCCCGGGTGCACGCGCTCACACGCACACGTAGATCCGCTTGCTGAGTTGAGACGTTCGAGTTGGACTTGCCGAATTGTGGGACAAGTTCTCTCCCCCAAGGAACTTGTGGGCAGCAACGCGTTCTCCAAGCTTAGCTCACGATTAATATTTTAGTTTTAGCAGGTAAGGCCCAGTGAGTTATAGAGCTCTTTTTAGGGAAGCCACCTGGCCACAAATGATGGCTAAACGAAGTGGCTTATCAGGTGTAAATGTATAGCAGCCAAATGCTCTAAACGCGCGTTGGTTCAAAATGCGGAGGGGCAAACCGGAGGACCCAGGGAACTTGCAGACTCCAAATGTACAACAGGCATCGTCAGGGTCGGGATCGACCCCACGACCTCCTGTATACCGGGCGAGGTAGTTAACATCTCTTAGCCACCGTGCTCAATTCCCAAACCAACGGCCGATGTTCGGGTGAACGAGGCTGGCGTGCAGGGCTCGCTGTGAGTCGCCGTGTCAAGAAGCGGACACTTCCGGCGCGATGTGAATCTTTTGCACTCCTCCAAAACCAGGCGTTTGAGTTGACGTAACCGAAGCAAGCCCCATAAGCGGGGTTGTTGGTTGGTTAGTTGCTGTGTTCCATTACAACTGTGTACGGGCACACCTGTTGATGTCAGTACACTTTTAATTTGTTTTAACCATGTAGGTATATGTCGTTTTTTTGTACTTTTCCGTAGCACGCACGCACGCACCGAAATTACGATTTTGACAGAGAATAATTAACGGTGGGCTTGTCCAATACGTTTAGTTACTAGTAAGCGAAAGTCTTAGCGATTGTAATTTAAACCGTAAAGCCGTTTTAATAAGTATTATTATTCCTTGCTCCTTTTGTTCATCATTGCTTGACTAAATGTACTTTATTTTCTGTATGGCGATCAAGTAGCATTCGTTGATTCGATTTCTTATATTTTTATTTTCTTCTTCTTCTGTTGGCCTCCGTCTTAACGCAGAGGGGATCGACACTCCGAGATTGTGCGAAACATCGCCGCTGTTTGTACCGGGGAACTTCTAATACGATTTTCATTTGAGCAGTTCACAGGTTATGTGCAGCTAGCTCAAGTGGATGCACTGTTGTTTTGAAGAGGCGTTGATGACAACACAATCTGTTAGGAAATCCAAGTTAGGTTCATTGCTGCATGTGATTTCCCAACCTTCAGTGCTCTCAACCCCCACCACGGTGCATTGAAACACAAATTAAGTTATTCTGAATTAGGTTATTACATGCTGCACATGCCTGATGATTAGTAAACATGAATTAATTCAAATTGAGGAAGCCTTGTGTGCGGTTTGTACATGTGTGTACGAGGGATGAGTTTTTCATTTAACGGGAAAACAGTATATAAGAATTCGTATATATTTTTTATTTTGAAGGACATTTTTTGATCGTGTTCAGATTTTGGGATCTTCGGATAGTTGACGTTACTTACAAATGTGAAAGGTCTTCGCGATAACAATCTTCGATAGCAATCTGAGATAACAATCTGAGATAATCGATAATTGTCATCGATAAAAATTATCCATAACAATTGATGTCAATAACAATCGATAACAATCGTGACATCGCCTGGGACCACAAGGGCTCCAATCTTGTACGGTCACATTCGTAACGTCACTTTACGGTTTTTAGGTCAACGAAATGACAACGTTCGGATCGTCCGAAATTTTCATATCTAGGCCCCCTGTGCTTTTTCATCGGATTGATCCCAATATACGGAGCGCACATCCCCATCTTGTACATACATGTGCCGTACATGCATGTGCCACGTGACGAAGAGGGCCTCCGGCTTTTATGCACGCGTGCATCCTGTGTGGTGCCGTAAGAGGGCGTCGATTGAAGTTGACATCGTCGTCATTGGATTCGGTGCTCTCCTACCGTCGCATCGGAAGAGACGCATTTAAACCCCATCCATCGAGCGAATGCAACGTGTCAGGGCTTCTTGATTAATTTTAACCAGGGGGATTCATCATCGCGAGGATCGAGGCTTTTAAGAAATGGTGCATCGGCGTGTGGCGGGTCACAGCACCGCTGCTGCCCTTCACAAAGATCCCCCCCCCCTATAGCCTGTAACAGACTGTAGGGGCAAGTGCTGTTAGCGAGCACACACAAAGACAAAGATCCCCCGTGTAGCCTGTAACAGACTGTTGGAGCACGTGCTGTTAGCTAGCACTTATGAAGGCCGGCACGGCGCATGAAGGGGTGAGTGATCAACACCACGCCCGACCGCCTTTGTTTCCCCAGTGGCGATGTTTACACACCGCACCAGGTACTCATGCTAGGCTGAGTCGACCTAGGGGAGGTCCAGGACCGATTCGGATAATCGTCACCGGTGTTGGCCGTGAGCGGAAATCGAACTCGGGTCGCCGAATTCGTAGCGCTTACCGCTGCACCACCACTCCCCATATCTGCTGCCCTTCACACACACACACAGACACGTCTTCTGGCGACGCCTTACAAACAATAACATTCACAGAGGCAGGTGAAATTCGACAATGTCTGCAAAAGACTGTTTCTCGTCAGCTCAGTTTAGGACAGGCCTCGAAACAGAAGGAAT